GAAACCACCCCAAGTCACAATTCCGACTTTAGTAAGTGAAGTTGCATCTTCTGCCTCCTTTCCTCCACAAATCCAAGCACATCTGAACAGCCAGTTAGCAAAAGGAGTACACAGTTAATGTGGCACTTGTAGGATGACAAAGGAACGCAACCATTCCTACATATTTATTAAGGGGCTGGAGCATCTCTCCTATGAGGAAAGGCTGAGGGAGCTGAGCCTGCTCAGCCTGGAGAGGAGCAGGCTGATGGGGGATCTGATCAACGTGTACAAGTCTCTGAAGGGAGGGCGTCAAGAGAACGGGGCCAGTCTCTTCTCCATGGTGCCCAGGGACAGGACGAGAGGCAACGGGCACAAACTGAAACCCAGGAAGTTCTGTCTGAACACGAGGAAAAACTTCTTTACTGTGAGGGTGACTGAGCACTGGCACAGGTTGCCCAGAGAGGCTGTGGAGTCTCCTTCCCTGGAGATGTTCAAAACCCATCTGGACACCATCCTGAGCAATGTGCTCTAGAGGACCCTGCTTGAGCAGGAGGGGGTTGGACTAGATGTTCTCTGGAAGTCCTCAACCATTCTGTGATTTTTCTCTTGTTTTTGGAGTAATACTTCAGATCTAAGAACCACAGACTTGGACACAAACAGCAGAGTAAGTCAAATCATATTTGTTCACAAGAATCATCAACCCTGGTATCACTTCTTCAAAGTAATCATCTAGAATTTTGTTTCTGTATCAAAGCCTCAGGACGAAGTTAGGCACTGTGTTGCTGAAGGTGCCCTCATTCCGTGGCTAGTACATGCATAATTTGCTTTTCATGTACACAAGCACATTCACATAGGCTGCTACAATACCAAAGAATTTAGCATGTGAGACCATTACTTGTTTAGAATATCACAGAACTGTATTCAGAGGTACCATAGCCAGCTGAATTCAGGACTATATTTGGACCATTTAATCACATAGGACATATTACAGTTTCTATACGTTCAAACTGCCTGGTGACAGAAACCCACTGCACTGAATAGTTCAGTTTGAGGATTTGTGCACCAATAAAATATTTAAAGGCTCATATGCTCATAAATTGTTTTTGCTTAGTAGACTAAATCTGGAATAAGGTTATTATAAATCAGAGTACAATGACATGAATCCGTTAGCATCAACAGTACTGACTAAGAGAGATCTTCACCCCACAAGGTATAAAGTCTCTCATGCCCGAACATGTTCTGCAAAAAAACCCACAAAATTTCAATACGATTTTTCAAACCCCTATCAAATAGCGTGTCTAAACTATTATAAGTCTCATGAAAGCAATGACTGCAAAATAGCCATGAGTCAATAGCAAAGGGAAGCCATAGTTTTAACACCAATAAAACCAGCTTGAAATTCTACTGAGCCCTAAGTAAAAATCTTACTTCTTACTAACTGGAGCATTTCTTTAGCAAGCAGTATTGCATCTTTATCAGTAATTTTGATCTTAGCTGTCCCTCTGCAGCATCGCCAGTTTGGAAAGAGGGCAGCTCGGTATCAGATTTGGGTCTGTCAAGAATATGAAGCACTGTTATTAAAAATAACTATGCTGCTATAAAATTGTCAAGTATATTCAGTTACAAATGCCTAAAGGCTCTGTTGAGATTGCAGGGTAGGAAAGTTAAGTCAGTAACAATTGCTAAGTACTCCCAGAGCGCTCTCACGAAATCACGCTAAAACTGCTTTTCCAAAATAAAGCAAGCAAGCTGTTTACCTTATTTTCTTGGCCCCACTGCCAGATGCTTGGAGCTTGCATGCCAAAGAAAGCAAATGGATCCTTGCCAACAATTATTAAACCTATTAATACTAGTTTGAAGACAGACAGGAAGGATGCTATGTGCCTATCAAAAGACAAAAAAAAAGTCACTTAAAAAGGTTCTCAGTTACTTCTTCACCACTGTATAGCTACAACTTACCTAATTAGAATAATTTTGATAATGTATAATCAGGCATTTTGCAGGAAGCAAAACTTTTCAAGTAAAAGTATCTGTAACACAGAACTAAACACACTAACAAAAACATACATCCTCAGGACGCCATTATAATATACCATGCATACAGATTTATTCTTTTCTTCTAAACAGATCTCAAACTGAGATTTGCTTTCAATTTGTACACTTGTCTAAACCAGATAATATACTTAGTTTCTTAAAGAAGCTGCTCCAAATTATAGAGATATGTTTAATTGACATTCAGTACTTCCTCCTAAAACATTTTTCTAGCAAGTACACAAAACCCCACAGTTCTCAGTGGGGATTAAGCATTTAGCCAGAGAGCAAATTAACACTGAGGTATTCAGTTCCCAGCATTTACTCTTACAGCATTATTACCATTGTAATTACAGTAATTAGATCGAGAAGTGGTTCAGAAGCCACTGCTGTAACTATGGCATCACTCTCTAGCCTGTAAACAATGGTAACACCGCCACTATTTCAATTTTGCCTTTTCCCGGTTTTCTTTTGTGCACGTGTTCTTCCCCCCACCCAAACAATGGTTAAGGAAATCCCATTAGTCTCTCCAGTGAAGTCAGCTTTCCCCTGATTTGTATGTTAAAAATGAGTTCTTCTCTCCTCTGCATCCTTAACATATTACAGGAATTTGTCCCTAAGTGCATAAGCCTGAGCAACAAGAGCAGCAAACGTGAATTTACGTCCAGGCACATCATGGTGAAAAGGTAAAAAATTCATTGTGAAAAACGTGAATTATATAATTTACTTCAGATTGCCTTGCAACATGACAGGCCTCATCATACAGATAGCTGCATTAAGTTCCCATAGAGATATTACCACCTGGAGATCTGTGAACGGAGAAAATAAAGCAATCTTGTATGTAATCACGATAGGAAGAAAAACCCTGTTGCAAGTTTCCATTTTCAATTTTCTTTAAGCCTAAACATACACGTTCAAAACTCACCACGATAAACCTATGTATCAGGGAAAAAAACAGCACTGCTAGTCGTTTGCTTACCTATATATAGGTTGAGGAAGATAGTTCTCCCCTTCAATGCGGATGTCTGGGTACCGCTGGCTAATAACCCGCATGTACTCCTCAAACACCCGTCTGTAGCCTCAGGAGACACTAAATGCAGACACACACTGTCAGCGAGACCGACCCGCTGTACGTTAAAGCCACTGCAGAACGGACAACGCGGGCCCTCGCCCCGCTCAAGCATCTGCTTAACCTAAAGTGAAGCCACAGTTCCTCAGGCCGAAGAAGAAAACTGTTTGGGACTAAGTTACAAATCCAAAATCCGGAGAGCTGCCTCGGCCCTGGTTTTACCCAGAATTTGCTTCCACATGCTAGCGCAGAGATAATGTTTTGAGGAAGTCCGTTCAGCAAGGCATCGTCTCCCCAATGAAAAAACCATCGCGCTAGAAAGTTAACACAAGCATTGCCTTGCTCTGCTTCGCACACAGAAAAGCTTTCGCACTCTAACAGCTGCTAGTGTAATAGCGGTTTAGCTTACTACACTGCCTCGGCCTGCCGAGAGATGAGCAGTGCTTACTTACTCCTTTATAAGGATGACTAGATTAACAACAGGACAGTTAAATATTACAGAGTTGTACTTTGGCTCGCAATTTCCGAGAGCTGTGAATATATGCCGCTATAATAATTGAGGGGGGGGGAAAAACCCAGTCTCAGCTCAGGA